GGCCAACCATCGCCTTCACTTTCTTTGGTTGTTGGCCAACCATCGCCTTCACTTTCTTTGGTTGTTGGCCAACCATGCATACTAAATTTTGACAAACAGCATCGACCTCGCTATTCTTATCAAAGGGAAACTAAATTTTGCTCTAAAATTAATAAAAACTAAAAGGAATTACAATGGAAATCACACGATTTATGTAAGCTTAATCAAATGCAGAGTAAACGAAGTGCCTTTAACGAAGAGTATTATTGGAGATTGATGGGATTCAAAGGAAGAGCCGAAGCCAGAGCCAGAACAATTGATTCGGAGAGATGGGTATCATTTGCAGAGTGAAGTAGAACTAGAGACTGTAGTTGCAATAGGAATTATTGATTCTGAGATTAATGGTTTTGGAATCGCAAAGAGCAGGTAAGATGAAATTAAAGAGGATAAATAGGGACGCGAACACATATTTGCCATCCAAAACCCTTATTCCGAAACCCTCCTTAGTCCTTAAGTAAATTTATTTGTAACCCCATAAATGAATTTCCTTTTTTTTTTAAAAGGAAATTGTCATAAATAAATATTTTACTTCATAATTACTAAATATATATTTGTAATTCTTCATATTTCATTTTGTTAAATTTCTAAATAATATAAAATATTTTTTAATTATTATATTTTTTTACTTTTCTCATTTTATTTTATTAAATGTAATCGCATCCCAAAAACAAATAATTTATTTGAATTTGGAAAATCTAATTTGATATTTGTAGTTTTTTTGACAAATTATTTTAATACGTGTTCTTTTTTATCATCATTACACGAATAAAATTCTTTTTTTTTTTTTTGAATAAATTCTTTTTTTTTTTTTTTTGTTCTTAAAATTTTTTTTTTTTTTTTTGTTCTTTTTATACATAAAATTGTATATAGATATTTTCAAGTAAAGTAACTTCTACTATATGTATTTGCTTGATGTTAATTAACTTATAAAATTTTTAGAATTTTGATAAAATTGTATCAACGTTTTTTTACTCTTGATTTTCAAATTAAAACCAAATTTTCATAATATTGTTAAATATCTTTCATTCGAAGAGTAATTACTTTTTTTACATATTAATTATATTATATTTTATTTATTAAAATATAAAAATAAATTTAATTGTATTTAATATAAATTTATTAAAAAATGTTAATATAAATGTATTTATGTGCAAGCACTTGCTAAAGATATGAAAGGACTTGGAACCCAAAAACAAATACCAACAGCTCTTAAATCTGAGGCCCACTATAATTCATTCTGGGCCAACAGCCCAAACAATGCACTTTTTTCATCTTCATTCCTTAATTTCTTTTAAATTTTCTTGAAAAGGAATAATTTTCATTTCTTCTCATCGGATGGAATATTGGTTGCCAAAAATCAAGTATTCTTTTAATCAATAATTGTTCATATTTTCTACACATTATTTTTTATATGTAGGAGAATTTTTCCTATTTTTGTTTTTTTTTTCTTCAATTTAGGTAAAATAACAGTTTTTATATGTTAGTCGCGTCTTTTTTGTGTGTAAATTATCGGTATCGGAACCTTATTATCAGAGACGGCCTAATCCGACTCAAAACTTAATTACAGTTAAGGTTATTCATCCGGTCTCTAAATGTATTTATTAAAAATCGAATCTAAAAGGTATTTTCCTATGCTCGCTTTTTTTTATGCTATTTTTTTTTCCATTTGGTGAAAAGAAAGCCATCTAATCTAAAATAAAGTACTAAGAGAAAGAGACAAAATAGCTAGAGAACATATGATGGAGGTGCAAACTATGGGATTCTAAGTAATACCAAATTTGATGAGAAATTACCAATTAGAGATCAACTTTTGAAAACTTCTTCAAGTACTCTATATCATTATTTAAACATTGATTATCTCAAGAGTCATTTTCTTAAATTGGAAAATTACTCATAAACCAACGAATCCATAAAACCAATTAAAACAAAAAAAAAAAAAAAAAAAAAAAAAAAAAAAAAAAAAAAGTTTTTAAAAAAAAAAAAAAAAAAAAAAAAGTTTTTGAAACAATAATATTTATGACCCTGCAGTGAGAAAAAAAGGACATAGTAGAAATAATTTTTAAAAAATTCTTATTTTTATTAATTTAATTCATAAGCGGAGCCATAGACCGAGTTTAAGCAAGTATTTTTCCTACATGTTGATACCTCTATTATTATTTTCTATTTTAGTGAGATTAAAGAGTCAAGCACTTGTGTTGAGAATAGAATCTTTCTTTCTCTTCATTAGTAAAAAGTATTGACTTTAACATTTACAACCATTGAATCCTCAAATTGGCATTTTTCAACAAAAAAAGAAAAAAGAAAAAAAGGAAAAAGAATCAGCTAATTAGAGTTTCTACTTATTCTTGACAAAGGAGATTAATTAGTTGGGTAGAAATTTGAACGATGCTTCGAGTCCGTACAAATGATGGTATTAGTACCATACCATATTATCTGCACAATATATAGGGATAGCTAGGGTTTGAACAAATTAATAAAAATATTACTGCAAGGTTAAATAAGTTTATGTACATGGATAAAAATAAATATGAACCGGGATAAAAACGCACTCTGAAATGAAATTAGTTTCATAATCTGAAAAAAATTTGAAGATACTTGTGAAAAAACTCCAAAAAACATAAAAAATCATATGGCATTGGCTTGGTTGTGAGCAGAAGCGCGTACGAGGCTGCTTCCATTCAATTATGCATACGCGTTTTATGATGAGGCCAAGCATACCGAAACTTGAACAGTTTCTGCAAAACTGCGTACGGTTACAACAATCCAAAGAAAAAAAAAATCATATATCTGCAACCAACCAAGGTTTTAAGTTATTTTCATTATATAAAAACTAGTTATCGACAGGGATGTATACTTGAAGAAATTGACAGTAAAATAAAGATTCTTTTGGCACTTGCTGCAAAACCATCAATGGTGTGCAATGCTGCAGTCTTTTGATTTTTTAAAAAAATCTCAGGTTGCAGTCACATCTAGGTTGCAGTTAGGGCAGCTTGGTATGAGAGCGAGAGTAATTACCATAAATTATAAATTTTTTCTACGAATTTGAGCTAATCTTTACAGATTTATTTTTTCTTTAATCTTGATATTATAAAAAAAAAATCCTTAAAAAGAAAAAGAAATACTATTCACTCAATTTATGTACGTAGAAGGAAATTTTGTACAGAAATGAGGAATAGATTGCGATTGATAGTATATGTATAGTAGGTCAAATTTGATAATGTTCGCATGCTTAGAGGAAATTTCTGGTTCTAACAGGTTTATTTGTCGATCCAAACATTTGACTTTGAGATAAAGATTGCTGTTACTTGATTAGTTTATCATTAACACTGTCATTTCTCAAAAACAACTAACCAATCAGTTGATCATAAGTGGATCCTCGATAATTAAACTGCACTAGTGAAATAAAATAAAGTTTCAAGGATAAAATAATGAGAGAGAGAGACGTAGTGATGATATCAGGTTAATCAAGTAGTAATAATTAATCCGATTTTGAGTTAATTAAGTGGCAGGCCTGTGGTGATATCAGCTTAATTAAGCTTTTCATTAATTCGATACCGATAATGTTTTTTTTTTTTTTTGTTTTAATTTTGTCTTCCTAGCTAGCTAGTTTGGCATTCTTATTCTAATGGAGCAGGAGCCTATATATGCAGCTTTAAGATATTGACCACATGGTTCAAAGAAATACTAGAATAAAATAAGCACTGGTATAGATTGGCCACGTGTATTCTTGATGGTCCTACGTGTAAAGATTAACTAATAATTGTTTTAAACTATGAGTGTGACAAATAGTTATCCTAAGTCCTAACCTATATATTCCTAACACCATTTTAGTAAATTACTCCTTTGGTAAATTCCTTTTTTTTTTTTTTTTTTTTTTTTTTTTTTTTTTGTAATTCCCTTTTTTTTTTTTTTTTTTTTTTTTTTTTTTTTTTTTTTATAGACTGAGTATTTTTTTTTTTTTTTTTTTTTTTTTTTTTTTTTATAGACTGAGTATATTAAAATTGAAAAGTTAGTAGGCTTAACCAAGGTTTTTTTTTTTTTTAAAAATAAAGTGTTACTTACTCATATCTAAAATTGTCAAAATCTAATTAGTTAAAAAACTATTTATGAAGGAGTTTGTATATTATCTATTATTTATTTTTGTACTCTTTGTGTTATTAATATATTAGTTAATTTGTATACGCAAGTGTTGATATCTCTTATCCACTTATACAATTATTTTCTTATAAATAGACCGTTGGTGGATTGGTTGTTGCAACTTGCATTTGACATTTGAATTCTTCATAATTATCATACATTTTATGTATATCAAAGTATAATTCAGTAATAAATACATCGAATTTTGAGTTATTCATATACATATGTATATATAGTATAAAATTTTAGTAATTTAAAAATAAATATCATGTTAACCCTATAAATAAACTTTTAGTGGCATTACTTACACCATTAAATACGGAATGTATAGAGATGCCCACGGACTTGCCCTCGTTGGCCCAAAAAAAACTAAAAAGGGTAAAAGAAGAAAAAAGAAGATGGACACCATAAAAAGCTTTTCTTTTTGGACAAGGGGTGCAAAGCCAAGCTTAAGCTTCTCTTGCTTTACCAAAAGTTGATTAAGACTCTTTTTATACTAATTCTATTATGTGAAGCTTGAAAACAAAAGATGTCTTTTTCTTTCATTTATTTATTGTGGGCCCTCTCTCACCTTTTAATATGGAGGTGGTGAGTGGGTATAAAGCCCACCATTATTCTTCAGTTGGGAAGCATTGTTGCTTGAAAAAAACAATTCCTTGATGGGTCACACCAATTTAACCTGTCTTTTTTTCCTTTTTGTCCTTTTTTAAGATTCCCACTCACTTACATACATTTTCATCAATCAGATTTTCGATCACAGCCATTAATTTCCCCATCAATCCATCAGATCTTATGGGCTTTGCAAGTTTGTGATTAATCGTGTGGATACAAAATGCATAAGAATTTCAGAGTGAGGAAAACAAAATTAACACACACTAGTAGTGTATATATATATATATATATATATACCATGAAATGACTATCCAGATGGTTATTCTCAGAAAAAAAAAATTAAAAATAAATTACAGCTGCAAATCACGAAAATGGGCCCCACATCAAAAGCTTATCACCACACACTTGTACGGACAGTCAGCACGGATTTCTAGATTGCTTTCCTCAGCTGTACGATCACTTCCTTTGGGTATTAATACTGTTGCTTGGCTTGCTAGTAACAGACCTCACAACCCTCCTTTTCTTTTTCTTTAACGGTAAATTACACAGGACAAAGCTAACTTTTTTTTTTTTTTAATCTTTTATAAAAGTACAGTAACTTTATCAGCAAAATTAACTGTCTCCCGTACGGAAACCAACTCCTATCAATCCTTTTCCACGTTTGCCCTTTTTATTTCTTACACCACCAAAATTGTTTCAACCATCAAAAAGAAACCAAATAGAACCACAACCCATCCAACCATCTTCTTTTATCGAGTTGCTGCTGCCGCCGTCGCCGCCATTGCCGGAATTGGAATAGGCATCCCACTACCAGTCCTTACAGCGACACGCTCTGATGGGACAATGGTAGCCATATGATCTTCATCATAAAGAAATTGCTCCAGAATCATGGTGCTAGGCCCTGCCACTTGTTTTTCCCATACTTCTTCAGCTTCTTTTCCATTTTTCAGAAAAACTTCTGTAGCGTCGATGCGATGCATGTTCCAACTCCATCGGTTATAGAGTCGGTGGATTTTTTGCAGTTGACGACAGGATAAGATACAGTTATTCTCTTTAATCTTTTCAATTGCTAAATCAAGAAGCTTGGCTCGAGTTTTAGTATCTACAATTCCTTCCTTGCGAAAATACTGATCCAATTCAGGAACTCCAATTGCACGTCTAATTCCCTGAGAGTAATTAGTATTGTTAGGATCAAACACTTTTTTGACCTCATTGACAAGCCCTGCTTTCACCATTCGATCGACGCGTTCCGATACAAATGAATGTAGCACAGGCAATGACACATCCACCCACAGGAAGCAACATTCGTATCTTAGTCGGAATTCATGATCATCGTTTACTAAAGCCTCAATGAACGAATTTGATCCTCCGGCAATTATCGGTAACCGATCGCGTGCCACGATGGATTTAACAGAGTCCGAGGCTTGATGCCGGAAGTCATCTGAAGTGAAATTGGAATTAGGATCTACAATACCTATCAAATGATGCGGCACGCCGCGACACTCCTCTTCAGTCACTTTATTAGTGACTATATCTAAGCCTTTATAAACTTGCATTTTGTCGCAATTTATTACTTCAGCTGGAATACGAGTAGCAAGGTCGATAGCCAGTCTTGATTTTCCGGTGCCGGTTGGGCCGACAACGAACACCACCTTATCTTTTCGGCGGAAAAAAGGCTCTATATTTATGGCCCGTTGCAAATTCACAAGGGGCTGTATTTGCTTTTGGACCGAAACCGAAAACCTCATATTCATTATTGAGGAGAGACCGTGAGGAATCCTGAAATAAAATTAGCTTCGGGTTTAAAATGGAGAAATTACCTTTTACCATTAAAGTTAAGAAATTTAATATTATTCAGAGTAAATTTGAATCAATGAAATTAAAAAGAGAAAAAAAAAAATTGGAAACTTGCATTTTAGCACATGTCGTAGTTAAGCACATAAATATTTAAGCTGGACCACTTGAGCCGTACCTTAATATTGAATATGCCGCGACTTGTGGGGGGAGAATGGCCTGTAGAAGCTCTCTTTTTATGCAGAAGTTGGAAGAGACGCACACAGTACAGAGACAAGTTAGAAGAAATGGGGAGTTTAGGGATGTGCGAAGCAAATTAAGAGCTTATCAATTTGGCTTCCCTGTGTGTTGAGGTTGAGAACCAGACAGGGTATAAATTGAAGTATTAATGTTTACAGTTGAAAAAGATGGATGATAAGGAAGCACTTGTATTGTGTAATATGTTATGGTTTCGTGAAGAGGATGATTATGACACACGAGGATGATATATATCACTAGAGTTCTACTCTGCTGCTATTTATAGTGGTCTAAAATGCTAAGCATAACCGGTTGAGCAGGTTAACCAAGCACCTGCGAACACCACCGTATGAGAAAAAGAAAACCCACAATTTATAGTACAATACATACACAATTGCTTAAATTAGGTTGCCTAATTCTTCCATTTTCATTATTTATAATTTCATATGATTGGCTCCAAATTAAATTAGATTCTTTTTTTGTTTTAATTAGCTATATAGAGCAAGAAAAACAAACATATACAAGCTATATATATTTGCCAAAAAATGATGGGATTATATATAAATAAAACATTACGACCATATTAATTAATTAATTTATTTATTAATTAATGGGTAGCATAGCCATAGTCAACAAAAAGAAGGAGCCAGGAGGTGTGGCTCAATAATATTAAGAGGATTCCCTTATTAGAGCTAGCTTTCTCTATTTGTTTGTATAGTAACATAATTAATGATAATAATAATAATAATAATAATATAGTCAACAAAAAGAAGGAGCCAGGAGGTGTGGCTCAATAAATTTAAGAGGATTCCTTATTAGAGCTAGCTTTCTCTATTTGTTTGTATAGTAACATAATTTATGATAATAATATAAATAATAAATATAATTGTTTTTCTTGATCTTGGTTTATGTTGTGTCTTGATCTGCTATATAAAAACTAATAAAGAAAATTACATTAAAACAGATATGGGTTGGAGAAAGTTTGTTTTCAACAAAGCAGTGGGCAAAAAGGAATTTCTTTTTAGTGGCTTCGATACCTAAAATATAATTTTATATCTTGTGTTGAAATGGGACCGGCTTAACAGTTGGCAAATTTCCATGAGAATGATAGTTTTGTGTTATATTTCTATCCTTTCTGCTTGCATTTGTTTGTATAGTAACATAATTAATGATAATAATAATAATAATAATAATAATTGTTTTTCTTGAATCTTGGTTTATGTTGTGTCTTGATCTTGCTATATAAAAATAATAAAAGAAAATATCACATTAACAACAATATGGGTGGAGAAGTTGTTTTCAACAAAGCAGTGGGCAAAAGGAATTTCCTTTTTAGTGGCTTCGATACCTAAAATATAATTTTATATCTGTGTTGAAATGACAAGCTAACAGTTGCAATTCATGAGAATATAGTTTGTGTTTATATTTCTATCCTTTCTGCTGCTGTTTCATGCTTAATTTTGAGGTCCCAGAAATTATAGAATGTTTGCAACATTTAATTACCTCTCTCGTGTTAATCAATCACCTCGTCTTTTTTAAAACAAGCGTAATAAATTAATGCTCTTGCTGAAGAATGAGCACCAAATTTTAAATTTTTTTTTTTGAGTCGACGATTAAAGAGATAAACTCGTTGAAGTTATCCTTTTTTTTTTCCCTCCAGATGGTGCTGGAATTTATCTTTTTTTTTTTTTTATTTTCATGAATAAGGGTTTTGCATGTGGAATCATTTATATTTTTCAAATGATGAATAGCAAAATAAGCTTTACTACTATTTTTACCATATCCTCCAACTTTTAAGTAGAATAACTAACAAAAGGGTGAACAGAGTTATCCATGAATAGCAACCTTGGGAAATAGGAAGCACGTAGGTATAGACAAGAAGCACTTGGATATAATACAATATTAAGGACGGTGAAAGGAATCTTGGAATCTAAAGAAAATAACTTGGAAAATGAATGTTAAAACATTCAAGAATTTTCCTAGTTCCTTTTCTTCCATTGGCATTTCTTGTATTTTTCTTTCTATATTCCCCTTTCCTTTTTTCTTTGGGAATTTGCTATACTAGAACTACGGACACCACTTTAAAGCAAGCAAGCAACTTGGTTACATATATAGGACAAAGGCAAATGGCAGTAGTACCAGTAAAATCAAAAGATCATCAATCCAACTTGACAATATGATGCCAAGTGATAAATGGACTCTCTCTCTCTAACAGTGTCATTCCTTAATGGAAAAAGATGATTTTGACTTCTGTAATGTAAGGAATTATGAAAGAGATAGTCACAGGTCAACTTGGTTTTTGGTTCCTATCTTATGTGATGCGAGTGCAGTAAATTATTTTTTTTGTCCCCTCAAAGGGTTACTCTTCATTATGCAATTTACATATAATTATGAAGAAAAGAGAGGAAAAACTTCTGATGTGGTAAGATATATAGATATTTAATTAAACTTAATTTATAAGAATTTGGGTACCTAGATTGTAATTAATGAAATGTTTATTAAGGTATATTTGTTTCCTCTTCTGGGAGGTGAGCATTGTCTGTTCCAACTGGTACTCAATGGTGGAATTCTCATATTGGAAACACCAATATTGTTGTTCTATATGCTCTTAATAGTATAAAAAATATATTGGAAAGTGGTTTATGGATTTTGAATAATCTTTTGTCCTGAGAATTGTGTAGGAAAATCACTTTCTCCACAACCTGCAGTTTTTCGTTTCAAATCAAAAGAATGGGCCATAGCTAGGTCCTAATTAATAATCATTAGCAAGGATAACATTATCTAAGGCTCCAACTTGACTAATAAGTGATAAATTATAATCAAGACTGTACTAAGAAAATATATATATATATATTTTCGTCAAAGCTAGGTAAAGATATCCCATGATAAGTGATTATTAATAATTAAAGTCAGCCAAGCATGAATTAGCAGATCTTATATTTACAAATTCTGCTTTCTAGTGACTATGATGGATTTCAAGTAAGCGTGCGTCGGGAGCACAGAAAAGTCACTTCCCAATATCAAATCCGAAAGGAAAATTAGCACTTCACATTTAATCATTGATAAAAAGGACAACCACAATCAATCTTTTATTTATTTTTTTAAAAAATAATCAAAAAATAAAGTTTCTTGATTATCTTTCATTAACTAGAACATGATGAAATATTCTAATCATCACCTTCATACATTAACTACTCCATTGGAGCGTGAAATTTACTGATTTCCATTATCAAACATTTCTTGATCGGATAAACACAGAGATTGTTGTTAATTTATGCTCAGAAAGTCAAGAATTGAAAGAGTCTTCCATAGCCACCAAACTGTCATTTCTTGATTTTACTTTCTTTCTTGGTTTGTGGGTTTTAATTATGATCTAAAGCGGTGAAGCTCTGAGAAAGAAGTCTTTAGCTCGCATGACAAAAGAACACAGCAAAGGCAATCATGAGGAAGTCAAATAATGGGTTTAATAATAGCATACTTTTCTTGATAGAATCTAAATGATAACTTGATTATATAATAATTATTATTATAAACTAAACACTCACTAAAGAAAATTTAACAACCCCCCTGCTATTAATAATTAATAATATTATATACACCCAAGACTTTTTTTTTTTTTTAATTTTTAGTCATATCTACCTATTAATTTATTCAAGGGTCGTTTCTTCTTTAGACCCCACCTTTGCTTTGATTCTTATTTGACCCCCCACCATTGCATTCTTAGAAAAATTCCAATGTCTGTGATTGCTCCTTAATTGTAATAACACCAAAGTTTTTTTTTTTTTCTTTTTCTTTTTTTATAACAAGTTGAGGTTTATCGCTGCCAAATGCCAATTAGTTAGGTTTCAGAGTCAACTAAAATAAATGAGAGAGAAGCTCTGGAATCTATAGTGTTTCAACTCTTATATAGTCACCTTTTTTTTTAATTGATTTCTTATGATTACACATTTGTATGTTGGGAATTTGAAGTTTTATTAGCTTAATTAATTTTTTTTTTCTATATTTATACCTTCCCATTTCCATCAACCAAATGAAGACAAGGTGGTGAGAAATAGTGTATCCAACTAGTGCAAAACAAACGTGGCATATCCATAAAATTAGGACAAAGATTATGCTAAATTTTCAGTTTTATTCATTAGCTAGGCGTAGTTCTACGTATATGAAAGTTACTAAATTTATTGCGGATCAGGTGTAGTTCTATTTTTTAAATTTTCTCGACCATAAATATTTATATTAATTCGGTAAATTAAAGAGAGGACTATATTCTTATTATGTAGTCTGCGTTATAGGTGTCTTTTTCTTATATAAGAGTAAATAGAATGACATTAGAAGATAGAAATAATAAGGAATAAGCTTGAATTCCAAATTAATTAGAATTTGATTATAAAAAAGTTTTATTAATATTCCGCTTTTTCATATCTACATTAAAAAATAGTAAATCTATTGACACAATTTTCTATAATTCTATATCTATGTCTTTCTTGATTGAACGCTCTTTAGTCTTTACTACCAATATACAGCACTTCATTGAAAAACAGGGGAAAAAGAAGATGATTTGACCTCATTTGCACTCATCAAGTCATTTCTGAAACAACATCACTCTACCTAGCTAGCTGGCAAGCTCAAGATCAACATAAGATCGTTTTCAATTTGAATCCTATTAAATCAAAATGAAAGAAATATTAAAAAGAAAAAGCTCGCAGAATAATAAAAAAAATATATTAGTTGGATTGGTAAATAATTTCAATCTTTATAATAACGAAAACACAAATTTAATGTCCGAAAATCGCATTTTATAGAGAAAATAAAAGAAATTTTTATATTCTACAGTAAAAAAGGATTAAATCTCCCTATTATAAAAAAAAAGATAATAAATAGATAGATGGATAGATTCAAGTATGCAATGACAAGAATGATTAGCTATATAGGGATGCTTTAACTAGTCAGGCTCATTGAAATTTCAACAATTTCGTCATTCAAAAAGAGCAGCAGACGGGAGCGGAAAGGCTACTACTAATTATAAGAAGAGAAAGCTAATTTGTAAAACAAAACATAGGTAGGAATAATAGAATTCATCTAGATGAAGTGGACTTAATCCCAACCAATCTTGGAAATTATTTTGCAGAGTACTATTAGCAGTTCCTCCTCGTCAAACCAAAAAATGATTTATTGAATGATCAAATCCACCAATTCGTACATACTGAGAATTGTTATTATGCTAAGTGCTTTTCATCCTAAATTTGGTAGGCCACGTTGTTGGGTCAACACTTTTAACCTACTACTAACAATGGTACCCATTATAACTTTGCTATATTGGCATTTGGCAACTTCTTTTTATTATTTATTACATCTCGATGCCTGCAATTAAAGTACAATTGAATGTTCTTAGACATGGAATACACCATGGACTTCTTAAAAAATTATGAAATGTCATTATTCTCTACTTAGAATTTTCAATTTTAAACTCTTTCAAATGAATTTAATATCCATTACAAGAACTCAAGGTAGTACAAGTAGTGTTTGTGCATTTTATATCTCCTGATTTTTTTTTTTAATATAATCGGTAGGCATAATCCCTTTTGAGCTGTAGAGAGCATGAAGATTTTTAGCTGTTTAATTTTTCTAACAAACAGTGTTTTCTAGAACCAAACTTACCCTTATAGGGATTAAGTTATTTATTACCTCAATCAAACACTCTGTTGGTATCTCCAGACCAATTTTAGCTATAAGGTCAACAGTTTAAAACTTAGAGTCATTATAATTGAGAGGAGCTTACTTTAATATTACTATCAATCTAAGTATGAAAACACGCGTGCAAACAATATATATATATATATATGTGTCATGTTTGAAAATTAGTTTTAAAATAATAATTAGATGTTAAAGGGAATGTTTCATGAAACATTATTTTCATAACTTCTAGCATTTGAAAACAATTAATTAAACTTTTTAAAATTATTTTACATTTAACAGTTATTTTTTGGACACTTCTACTTTAGACCACTATATAAATAAATAGTCACTAAAAACTAATATTAAAAATCTAACAATTAGTAAAATAGCTAAAAGCCACCATAATATTTAACAACTACTAAAAATAATTAGTATTACCAAACAAAACCTTGATTTGAGAAATGCAAATATGAGGCCAAATTTTGGGTTTCATCATAATGGACAACAAGTAGCAGAGACTTAGGTTATGGATCTAAATCTAAAGAAACCCATTATAAGGTAACCTCTCTTGAGATTGCCACAGCCTCAAGGCCTAAACTTGAATTCAGCTGATTGTTGAACTGAATAAATCTTTATGAATGCAAAGCCCAGACAAATCAAACTTTATTAGGCTTGGCCTAGCCCAGTCATTGTCTAACTGTAGAGTCCAATGGGTAATGAATATTTCCCAGAAGTCATTTTTGAGCCCAAATCTAAGTAAGACATGTGAATAAGCCCAAATTATCGTGACAAAATCAGCATATTCTAACAGAAACGACTTTTCCATGAAGAACAACCGCGCGCGCGTTGGTGAAACTGATGAAGGGATCTAATAAATCACTTTATTATTTGTCTCGTTAAATTAAATAACTTTAATTAGAGAAACTTTATTACTTTTTGGAATTAATTAACCTTATTTACAATTTTAAAATAAAAAAGAAAAGTATGACCACGCCCCAGGAGCAGCGCGCGTGAATAGGCTTGAATTGTCCAGGATGGAATAGAAAACGCAAGCACCAGGACCTTCATTAGAAATGGTAGTTGCGATTTGAGAAGAAGAAGAAATCCTGATTCCTGAGCACACCTCTATTTATATACATAACAAAACACATCATCAGATCTTCTTCAAAATTATCAGCAACAACGGCAATGATGCAAAATCATTGTCTCCTTCATCTTCTAATTTCTGATTGATATGAATCTCTCGTTATCTTCTACCTCTCTATCGTCCTCTTCGTCTACGTCCGCAACTTCTGGTGCTACTTCTTCCCCTTCCTCAGCTACTTCATGGTTCTCCGGCATTGTTCGTGGCCGCGCTGATCGATCCAGTAGCCTTAAAATGGCCGGCAATTCTGGCGCAAGCGCCTGGGAAAGTGCCGGTCCAATCAAAGGAAAGAACCAGTTCCGTGGTGTGCTCTTCAAGTACGGACCCAAGCCTATCCAGGTAATGCAAATCAGAAATTGAATAGGCTTTATGTTTTCCTTTTTTCTTAAGGGAATTTTTGATGATTTGATTGGAGTCGTGTTAGAATTGTTGAATTAATTTTTGTACTTCAGCTGAATGTTTGATTTGATCTGGACATTATGAATGTGCTATAGGTTCTGTAATTTGTGATTAAACAGATTTGTAATTAGCTTTGTCAGAGACATTCAAAATTTTGATGAATCGAACGCACTTTTCCTCTAACTCGTAATTTTCTCTAATTGAGTTCTTTGTTAAGAATGTCAATCAATTCACTGCTGTAACCTTTTTGCTAGCTTTATTAAGATTAGTGATGCCTTCAAATTTGAATTCCCCGAGCTTGAAAATTTTCAGGTCATTTCTAGTGTTGCCTTTTCGTACTACTGTAGTTTATGCTTTTGATTATATCATTTGATGTTATATTTGAATATTGATTGCAGGTTGCATTTAAAACAGGTGATCATAAACAACAAGCCATTTTTATTGGTGGATTAACTGATGGTTTTCTAGCAACTGAGTATGTAGTTAGTAATTCATTACTGTCATTCGCTCAAGTTATATGTTTTTCCTTTTATTATTTGGTCGTGGACCAAATAATATCAAATCTTCTGCAAGTTATTTATAGATGGCTACATTGATTTGGCTGATTCACCGCGAACCACATAATTTAAATACACAGCTGAATACTAGAAAATAATTAAAAAATGGCATGGTTCCCACTTCCCAACATCACTTTCTTCTTCTGAATTTCAGATATTTGGAACCTCTGGCAATTGCTTTGGATAGGGAGAAATGGTCCCTTGTTCAACTGCTTATGTCATCATCATACACTGGATATGGAACTTCCAGCTTGCAGCAAGTAACATCTTCTTTTTCCTTCAAGATTTTGTGATATGTGGTGAATTATTTTGATATTCTTAAGTACTTGTTTTATGAACCTGTCTTCTTTTTGAAACTTAATAAAGCTGAATGTAAGACTTGCAAGCAAACCTTTTAGCAAAAGCATATGAGCAGGCAAACTAGAAACAACAGTTTTTGTATAGCATATGTGTGATTTATTGAAGGAATGGTACAAATGCAAGAGTATGACTATTCAATGTGGTCACCAATTCTCATGCATAATTAAGACTGTTTAGACTGTTTTCAAAGGAGGTTGTAGCTAAAACAATTTAGTGACAAACGGTATAGGTAGGGAATGACATTGCTAGTGGTACTTGGTGTAGTATGAAGATCTTAATGATGATTGTCAAGATGATTGTACAGACACAAATGAATAAAACATTACAGAAATTATGTCTCGTATTAATATATTGGAAGTTTGATATTGCGGTGCATTGAACAACTCAATTGTCTTGATACCATAGGAAAATGATGATTGTACAAACAGTACAGAAATTATGTCTTGTATTACACAAGTGAATAGCATAACATGCAAGGAAAATGTGTGCTGATACTTGACCTTCTACAAGTGAAATTAAGAATTCATTAAACCAAAAAGCCTGAAGAAAATCTGTTTATAGAATTTTGGTGGGATATGATTCATTTTCTCATAATATGGATTTTTTTTTTTTTCATAGAAACATTCTCTCTTGGTGTGTGAGGACTTCCTCATTATCTTGTTCCTATACTTATTTTATTCTGATGATGTGCTGCTTTGCTAACCTATATAACTGTTTATGATAATCTTATTAGCTCAAAAGTTACATATCCTAGCCCCAAACTGCCACCATGCACCAGTTGAAACCATGGATGCTATTATATTGTCCTTTCTTCTTTCCATGAAATTATTTTCTTAACCAACTGCTTTAAATGGTAAAGTTCAGCGTTAGAAAAAGTAGCCTATCTTATGATTCCAGACAGTGGCACATACGTGTCTTATGGATATACATAGTCAATTTCTAAACTCTACTTACAAACTTTGATGTCATGTGCTCTTGTTCCAAAACCTAAATATCCAACTTTACCCAGCCATGCCAAAAAAGGGAAATGTTAGTTCAAATTTCACAAAATTTTATGTGTTTCCTTATACTGTTGGCACTTAGATATTGTTTTAGATCTTTTTAACCATAGTTTTCAGATACAAATCTTGTTCTCTAAGCAATAAAATGCCCTTACACTGTTATCTTGAAGGACGCCATGGAGATTGATCAGCTCATAAGTTATTTGATCAACAAAGAAAATTCTGAGGGTGTGGTCCTACTTGGGCACAGCACTGGCTGTCAGGTGAATCATGATGGATCTTTGTACTTGTGCAGATCATATTGGCTTTTACTGCAGAAATATAAATAGTTTTTGGTTGTTTTCACTTGAATCTAGGATATTGTACATTATATGCGTACAAGTGCTGCATGCTCCCGCGCAGTCCGTGCTGCCATTTTGCAGGTAACTCATTACCCATTTCATTTATATTTGTAGTACTACATCCAATGTATAGTTTTCACAGTGGTATCTATCCTCCTGAAAGCAAACTGCAATTTTTGCATCTTGATCTTGATGACTAACTATATGTGTTCCTATTTGACCTAGTTTGGTTGTCACGTCTGAGTATTGCTCTGGTCTTCATGGTTTACAGTTGTCAGAGTCCTAAAGCTTGGCAGCATTGCCTAACTTAATGTTAGGTGTTATTGCACTTGATATTTTAGCAATTCCTTAGAGGGGATATATTATTTCTCCTTTTTCTCATTGAATTGATGTTTTGATTTTAAAACATAAAAGTAAAAGTTGTATGAGTGTGGGGGTGGGTTAACTATTTGATAGCAAATACTGGGTGTACTAAAACTAGTGTAGTAGTGTTAAATGTATTCTCAATGATGTCTATTTATTCCCTACATTCCCAATATTCTTGTTTGTGGCAATACTTTATTTTATTGCAAATGCCTACATGTTGTGGATACACTTGCAGCTTTGATCATAATTCCAATTCGAATTTTCAGGCGCCAGTTAGTGATCGGGAGTACAATGCAACTCTTCCTAATACAGCTGCTATGATTGACTTGGCTTCGTCTATGATAGCAGAAGGTCGGGGATCAGAATTAATGCCTAGGGAAGCAGATCCATCTTCTCCAATAACTGCTTATAGGTGAGCAACCAACTGATTAATATAAAATGATTTTGTCAAAATTTAGGTTATCAATGAACTGAAAATCCATTTCATTGCACATTACATCATGTACCAAACATAGCATATATGATATTTTATAGAAAAGTATTTTCTTTGGCTCACTGGGCTTTTTAGTCCACATTCTTGAGGATCTGTAGAAGTTCACTAGTGGGCCCTTGATGTTATCAAAATTCTGAACTTAATATCTAGTTTGTTCCATGAATTTTTCTTGGTGGGCACTATAATTATAACTCATTTCAGATAATGACGCTTAGACATTGGCCTGATGCTCATATTTTGATACTTTCTAATCAATAAGAAACTTACAAAAGAAAATTGGAAAATACCCAAGTCTGTTGCTTGTATTTAGAGATACACCTGAATCTAGATACCCCAGCTGGGAACCTATGAACTTACAATTCTATGATGAGGGTTGAATTAATCAAACAACTCCTCTTTTGTAGTTGTATTTTAGTTTGTATTTATATTTGACATACTTGCACCAGAATCAAGATAGCACAGTTGGGAACCTAGGAATTCACGGTTCCATTACAATGAATTGAATTAAAATATTAAACTACTCTTGGGCATGTCCAAAAATCTGTTCCTAAAATACTGATTTTTATTGTCTTTTTCATAGTCTAAAATCATCAGAAATTTGCACAATCAAGGTTTGAATTGGCCAGTGGGAGAAAAAGGAAGGAGAAAAAGGAGGAGGGGGGTTGTCTTGGGGACCTAGCCCCTTAGCTCCAAAATTTTTTAAATTTGTCTTTATATATTTGCACAATCAAGGTTTTGAATTGCCCAGTTGGGGAGAAAAAGGAAGGAGAAAAAGGAGATGGGGGGGTTGTCTGGGGACCTAGCCCTTTAGCTCCAAAAATTTTTTAAATTGTCCTTTATATATATATATATATATATTATTTATATATGTATATATATATATATATATATATATATTTCTGATTTTGTCCCCCAACTTCATAGTCTGGCTCCGCTGTGAATGTTTGGGATACGCACTCTTACTAATAATTTTTCATTTTGCAGGTATCACTCCCTTTGTTCTTATATGGGAGATGATGACATGTTCAGTTCTGATCTTAGTGATGACCAGCTGAAAACAAGACTTGGGCACATGTGCAACACACCTTGCCAGGTACAGAGTACAGATGTACTACCCTCTACCAATATTTCGTGTTTGTTATTCTAAATGTTTGTAATTCATCTTAATGAGTCCATCAGCTGAATGTTTTAGACGCAAGGTCACATATACTTGCAATATGATTATGTCATCAAATTTATGTTACAAAAAGGCATTTTGAAGGGAAAACCCAGTGGTCCTGTTTGATTAGCCCTAGTGGTCCTGTTTGAAGCAAGCAACAAGCATAATGTCTCATTCACTTCAATTCAAAATTTTATAAGGCTCCTATCAACTTGCTTAGTATTTTGATAACAAACACAATTCCCATGTGTCTATTGCAGGTTATCTTTTCCATGGCTGATGAATATGTTCCAGATTATGTTGATAAGAAAGCATTGGTTGAAAGGTGAGAACTGAAACTTTTGTTTAGTTGATTGTTCCATTTTACAATTTTGTTTATTTATGTTGTTTAGAAATGTACCAATTCCAGCAATATAGAACACATCAAGACACGATGGTTGGTCTTGTTTTTTCTTTGTTTATGGATGTTTATAAACAATATAACCATTGTCTTATTATCTCTGTTTTTGATTTAGACTTCGATAATTGTATTTATACATCCTGTAGATTATGCAAAGCAATGGGTGGTGCAGAGAAAGTTGAAATTGAACATGGAAATCACTCCCTCTCTAATAGGGTCACTGAAGCTGTCCAGGCAATTATTGATTTTATAAAAAGAGAAGGCCCTAAAGGTTGGGATGATCCTTGGAACTAAACTAGTATGGTGCCTTTCTTCCTTTCCTCGTATTATTTATGTTTTTTTTTTTTATTATTTTAATTTTCTATCTTATTGATTTTCAGTTTTTCCATTTCGTTAAGCATTAGAGTGTACTTTTTATTTTCCATAGGATAAGAAGCTGGATGTATTTGATTGAGTGAAAATATGATATTGTGGTATTGGTGTAGTTTGTCTAGAAATAGATTTTTATGGGGAGAAATCTTTTGCCTTTTCCGCAATTTTATGGATTATATATGAGTTCTTTTGATTGTTCGAGCTAATTATAAGTGGGTACGTATGACTCCAATTTTACATTTGCTGACATTTAACAGCAACCAATCTGTTTGTTTTCAAGAAACAATATTTGAATATAGAGCAAGTACATTTACCTTACCATTAAATCAAAACGCATCGTTTCCTAATTAACAAATTTTCTTGCTAAATACTCCCAGTTGCATGAAAGGCTAGATTTGCTAATTATGTTTTTTACAATTAAACATATAAATAGTAGATTACTCGCAGATAAAGAGCTTTCTGTCTGTTGATTGAGTATGGGCAATTTCGTGAGAGTGAATGGGCGCCATGCTTTCAGTAGTCGTAGAAACGAAAGTTCTGGTGAATGGGGTTGGTGGCCACTAATTAACACACATTAACGTTATTCACTTGTACTTTTAGTCAATGGGCAAAAGGATTTCTTTGCTAAACTCCTTTTCGGTGAATCGGTGCTACATACTCTACCTTTATCAAATTGAAGGATCTTTCAAATTTTCAATACCAACTCTATTTACTTTTCTGGCTGGCCGGTCTTTTTCGAAAAAATTCAAAGCTGACCTTTTGGCAAACACTAGGATTTCACTTTACAGCCAAAAATGAATTAAAAAGATTTCAATTTTCCGTTTTAAAACAATGAATATTTATACAGAAGGAAATCAATTGCCAGTTTATATATCATTAACTTTGTAGATACATAATTATAAAACTTTAGTAGTCTATTTTATAATTTATTCAATTGATTTTAACATTCATTTAAGTCGTTTTGTAATTAAAAAAATTAAATAATGTTTCGTATATTTATTAATAATAAAAAGAAAAATGAAATCAATTACATGCCCGCAAGTTTCGGGGCTGCAGTGTGGCTTGCATGCTCCTGAAAATGAAATCGGCTTCTCAAAAAAAAAAAAAAAAAAAAAAAAAAAAAGCTGCAGTAAAAAAAAAAAAAAAAAAAGAAAAAAAAATCGAAATAAAGAAGTATGGGTTGGGTTGGGGTGTACTTCCTTGGCTAGTGTTAACCAATCATCTCCATTTTAGACGAGAAACAACCGATACGTGTAACATTCCAAGCCGTCTATTTGGATGTCAACATCAGGTAATAGAAGAAAGAGGACAACTAATAATAAATCTCACCGATATAACAAATAACAATCCACCACGTGCATGTCGCATTCAATTTACTTGGTAATCGTGAACTAATCTAACCATATGAAGGTTTTAGGCACATTTTGTTTCATAATTGCTGAATAGTTCTGAGATAGTTAAATAACTTGAAACTAATTTGGTACCCAATTTTGTAAAAAACATCTCACGTGGTATCTATCCATCCACCAAAGAATACAATTTCATGACCCTAGAGTAAATTACATCAGTATCCCCACCGACTAATCCGCCAAATCCAAACCCGTGTCGGTGCCAGTGCTGTCATTTGTATAACGCGGCAAAGGGTGTTATAGTCATTACGTCATTGCTAATGCTGTCGCCTTCCTTCTGGCGTTTTACTTCAATTGGATGCCCTTTCGCTTCTGTCATTTTATTTCCGTTATATTGAGATTTGGGGAGGGGGCGACTAGTGTTAGTTTTGTCATTACACATGTAGATATAATTTGTCATAAGTATTGATTAAATTTTTGAGAAATCAGTTAAATAACTAATTAAATATCTATTGTCTTTTTTTATAAATTTAAGTAATTTTTATCATCAGCTACCACTAAAAAGTTAGTATTGCAGAGTAGGTGTAAATATTTAAAGGTGAAACCCTGTTTTTGGGATAATACTCTAACCTTCTTTTTTTTTTTTTTTTTTCCTTTTTAAATAGCTTTTTAATTCCTCCAAACACGAGAATCTAATTTCCTACATTTTTAAGGAAAAAAAAATTCGCATAATATTTCAGTGTTGTATACCGTCACTGCTTTGGACTCTCAGAAAGGAGAGAGGCGTTTTCTTTTAGGAACATAAAGCTGTCTTCTTTCTTGTGAAACCACAAACCAAGCAAAAGCAAAGACTACTAATCAACATCTTTTGGACTACAACAGTTTATTTAATTTGCAGAGAAATTTTGGCTTCAGCTTATAATAATAATAAGGATATAAACACAGTAAGTATTTCTCTTGTTTTTCTTTTTTTTTTCCAATGGCATTTTCTCGAGAAAATCGGAGCCCTATCTATAATCTATTAAATACTTTCTTGGAGTTTTCGCCTCTCGTCAAATGAAGGTCTTGTTTTTATGTCTCCATAGAAAAGCCTGCTACTTGGTTACTGTTTAGCTTACTGATTTTTTTTTTCTGGGATTTGCAGATATGCCGGAGAAAGGAGACCAGTCATGGCTTCTCCGGTCAAAGTCCTTTGCTTCATGGAGGTTTCATGTACTAACAGCTCTTGTTTTTGTTGGTATGGTTGCTGTTTGGAGCATAGATGGCTGCACTATAAAGAATTTTATTCAGTCTTGGAGGTTTAACCAAGAATTTCTAGGCAGGAAATTTAATGCACAAGCCACAAAACCCACAAATCTAACCCGACAAATCCATCAAAATTTCACAAACAGTTTAAACAACACCTATATCCCATTACCCCATAACAATGGCAGCAACAATCCTCCTAGTTACAGTATAGTAACCAGCAACAATTACAATGTTGCTGCTCTTAACCATTCAGATGGGTCTCTAGAAAATCCAAGTGAGAAAGAATCACAAGAAGCTAATATGGAGTGGCTATCAACTGATTTAGATCCAAATTTAACTTCAAATCTTCTTTCTCAGTGGCTAGCGCCTGGAGGTGAGCCGTGTAGAGATTCACGTACGGCGGAGATTGTGATTCCTGGATTGAACGGTCGAGACTCGATAGAATTGACAGCAGGGAATGTTCATGAATTTGGTTTCGAAGCAGTTGATGAGTCCAAAAATCCCCGCTGTTTAGGTGGGGATTACTTTGAGTCTGATCTTTCGGGGGAGGCATGGAAGTCTAGGCCTTTAATTAAAGATTTTGGAAATGGATCTTACTCGATTTCGCTTCAAGTTCATCCTGATTTTGCTGGTGATTATAATCTTACTGTTATTTTGCTTTTCAGGCATTTTGAAGGTCTTAAATTTTCAACTTCTCGATTTGTTTATGATAAAGAATTGCGTAAGGTGAAAATCAGGTTTGTTAAAGCTCATTATGAGTTGCCACAGTTACAACTTTGTGAAAGATCTGATTTCAATAAAAATCTTTGGATAGGGAGGTGGACTAGGCATGGCAGGAATGATGGCTGTGAAATCAGTAATGATGGGCGGTATAGGTGCCTACCATCAAATTTTCCATGCCAAAATCCATGGTGTAATGGTTCTCTAGGCCTGTTAGAGAGTAATGGTTGGGTTTATTCTAGTCATTGTTCATTTAGGCTGTTTGTAGCTGATTCTGCTTGGAATTGCTTAAAGAATAGGTGGATTTTCTTCTGGGGCGATTCGAATCATGTCGATACAATACGAAACATTCTTAATTTTCTTTTAGATCTGCCTGAAATAAAATCTGTTCCTAGAAGGTTTGATATGAATTTTTCAAACCCTAATGATGCATCTCAATCAGTTAGAATTACTAGCATTTTCAATGGTCACTGGAATGAGACACAGAATTATCAGGGATTGAATTCTTTGAAAGATGAAGGATTTAGAAATTTGTTGAAGAAGTACTTCTTAGAAGACAATGTGCCAGACACTATAATCATGAATTCTGGTTTACATGATGGCATATTTTGGTCTAATGTTAGGAAATTTTCAGCTGGAGCTGATTATGCAGTTTCATTCTGGAAAGAAGTTATGGATTCTGTGAAGCAGAGGGGACTAGTAGCTCCTCAAATCTTTTATCGAACCACAATTGCCACTGGGGGATACGCCAGAGCACTATCCTTCAACCCAAACAAGATGGAGGCATTTAACTGGATAGTGTTGGATAAATTTAGGCGAGCCGAACTCCTTTCGGGGGTGATTGATAACTTTGATATGACTTTTCCATGGCATTATGACAATCGGTGCAATGATGGGGTGCATTATGGCAGAGCTCCGGCTAAGATGAAATGGAGAGATGGTGAAATTGGGCATCAGTATTTTGTGGACCTGATGTTAGGTCATGTGTTGCTCAACGCTTTATGTGTGAGATAACAAAAGAAGACAGCTTTTTGAACTGGTTACTGCCATGAAAATGGAAGCTAAGTTGGAATCTGCTATTGATGTGGGTTAGAGGAATCCTAATAAGTTTCACTCGTTGGTATTTTTCATTTTAACTAGAATCGGCATTCTTTATTTGTTTATATTGTACTACCATATATGGTTTTTGACACTTGTATATTGGTATAAAGAGCTTCTTCAATTTATAATTTCTTGTTGTAATTATTGCCCAGGTTGTGGGGTAAGCTCACTATAACCTATTATTTCAGATGAACTGCTGCTTCATTTGACTGGTTTCTGCATGTATTTCATTGGAACATGTCAAAATGTATTACTGCCACTCATTAACTTGAAAACTTTTGCATGGAATTTTTAAAATTTTTGGGCAATTTAGAGGTCAAGTACTTGCATGCTATTATTTTTATGGTGTTTCCATCGAACTTTTGTTTACTTTGAATATAAATATGTGTATATATATATATAAGCCAGAAGTGCAAAAGAATGTTAATATGTGTAGCAGAGTGGCAGATAAATCGCTCGAACAAGGTTAGATTCGGATGTGATTTATGTTTTCATTTAGATTTAGATTAAATTTATGACAATTATGTAAAAAGAATAAAAACAATGTGTAGGAAGACTGGCATAAAAATAGTTTCAACAAACTTAGATTTAGAAGTTATTCTAAAAGAAAAAAAAAAAAAAAGATTTAGAAGTGATATGTGTAGTTTTTATATGGACATTCTTTTTTATTATTATTATTTATTTCCTTCCAACAAAATTATATAATAGAAAGAATTTGAATACAGACGTTTTGCTGTTCATATTTTATAGAAAGCCAAAGAGCAATTAAGTCGCATTTGATTGCCTTTATTGGTTTTTGATTTTTGTAGATAGTTATAATTGATAATGTATATATATATATATATATATATTAGAATTAGGAAGGAAATATTGAGGTTGCTAAAATACCCTTACTAAATTTATACATTAACGAAAGTATCCTTGATTGAAAAAATAAAGATAGTTTAATTTATTTGGTTACATTTTTCATTTAAATTTTACAATTTTTTAAGCATCAATAATGGTCAATTATTAACGAGGAGTGATTTAAGTTGTAAAATACTATTATTGCCTTCAATGATTGCCCGGGCAAGCGGGAAAAAAACAAAAAAAAAAAAGGAAAAATTTATTTATAAGCTGAAAAAAGAACAAACTAACAACTTCCGTTGTAGTCTAGTCGGTCAGGATATTCGGCTCTCACCCGAAAGACCCGGGTTCGATTCCCGGCAACGGAACTAATTATTTTTGCTAAGACTAATTCAAGTTTATAGTGAAAAATTAAGACTATATTTTTTATTAACTGGGCGCGTATGCACTACGCTTCTCAAGCCTGACATGATAAAACCGAAAAAGATAATTGACAACGAAACTGAGGTCGAGAGAAGCAAGCAAGGCAAAAGCTACCTCCCTCTCCTCTGTCTTTTCATATATAAATTTGACAATTAGGTGAGACGGGTTAATTCTTTTAATCCCATTTCGATATAAAAATCACAACCTTATCCGATCTGCAATTTTCTTTTTGGCGTTGGTAGTGAGCGACGCAAGTTCGCAAGTTTTTGCAAGCAAGGCCTTAGAATCTGGCAAATCTTGGAGGATTAAGGCCTCGCTTGTCGTTGAAGCAAGCTATATCGGAGTACGAAAACGACGACCAAGAGTGTAGGCCTTGGGGCCGCAGGCTTTCTTCCTCTATGGCCGGTTTTACGTGGGGCTCTGCTGTTAGGATCACTCTCCTCCTCCTCCTCGTTGCTGCTGTTATTGTCGCTGGCTTGACTCTACCCGTTGAAAAGGTCACATCTGTTATCTGGTTCTCGCTTTATTTTAGCTTTTCTTTTCTTTTCTTTTTCTTCAATTCTGGGAATGATTTGTGATGAATTCTCTGTACTTTTGATGGATTTGGGTCTTTTTGGTTGATATGTTTGTTATTATTTTCTTTAAATTTTAAGCTTAGTTTAATTATGACAAAAAAAATGTGATCATGCTTCAAATTCATATTGATTTAGGTATGTTTGTACTAAATTTCCGTCCTTCGTTCAGTGCATATATTGAATGTCATCTACATATGTTGAAAATAAGCTGCATATGTAAAATAGCTCTTTCTTGCTTGCTTATTATATAACTTGTATGTAATTTATCCTCTTTTGTTATAGTCTAGATGTTTACTTTACATGTACTAATATGATAGGAGTTGAAATGAGTTGTTGCGTTTCTTTAGTTTGTATCAACTGCAGCTCAGGTTCTGTTTTCAATTACTTTCCCGTAACATTTATTGCACTATAGTCAGGATAATGAGGGATGTCTATCTTTTTATGATTTGCTTCGCATTTGTGTATTGTCTGAAAGTGCAGTTTCAATGCAGATCTTGAAGGACTTCTTATTATGGGTTGAGCAAGATCTTGGCCCTTGGGGTCCCCTTGTGCTGTAAGTCGATATATCTTCCTATTATTCCTAATATGTACCATAAACTTGAGATGCATTGTTCATATTCTGATGTGTTCCAAGAAATTAACTCATATGTGTTATTGGGTGGTTTGCAGGGCTGTCGCATACATTCCTCTGACAGTTTTGGCAGTTCCAGCATCAGTGCTTACTGTAAGTCTTGATAAACTTTTGCTGCTGCCAGCTGAGTTACCTGTCCTTATTATTTTTCATGACTAGAATTGTTACAACCTTGTGATTTTCACATCCACTTAAGCAAAATCAAGGCTATGCTCCCTATTCTTCATTTCACTCTTTCTTCACCTGTGTACTCTCTGATCAGTTGAAACAAATTGTTGCATGTCTATATGCTTTGGCACCCCTTGGTCCTAGTTAGTAATGATCAAAAAATAAAGTCATCTATTAACTCGGTTACCATCTTTCAGCTTGGTGGTGGATATCTCTTTGGGTTGCCTGTGGGCTTTGTTGCTGATTCTATTGGTGCCACCATTGGGGCAGGGGCTGCTTTCCTTCTGGGAAGAACGGTAGGTATACAGAATCTTGTGATGTATACTTCACATAGTTTCAATTCTTATGAGGAGCACATTGTGTTTATTGGAAAGAAGAAAACTTTTATTAGTAGTTGTCTCTGTCTATCTCACAAAGTTTGCATCCATATTTCTGTACCATTTGAGACTTGGGAAAAAAAGGAGCACGTTTCTTTTTTATCATTTCCACCTCTTTTGATTTTCTATTTAAGTTAGTCTAAAGTTGGAAATTTTCATTTTTTGATATCGTTTAAGTTATGTCTTACTCTGATACTTATATGCAGATCGGTAGATCTTTTGTTGTTTCCAAGTTGAAGGACTATCCACAGTTTAGGTCGGTTGCAATTGCAATCCGGAGATCTGGCTTTAAGGTCTGTATATATCAGATTTGAACTTTATAAACCCATAGTATTTCCAATTACTTAATTCATTTCCTTTTTCCTGTCTATTATTTTAATTTAGTGGCAGTAATATCGGATGATGTAATACTTTAATTCAATTTTTCCTCGTTATAAACTTTTTTTTTTTTCCCTTTAGGTTTGTAATTTCAGATTTGATCTTTGCAGACCCACAGTATATCCAATTATTTATTATGCATTTCCTTTTTTCTGTCTTTTATTTTAATTTAGTGTTAGTAGTAGCAGATCATGTAATAATTTAATTTCATTTTTCCTAGTTTTAATTTTTTTTTTTTTGGTAAAATGTCTAGATTTCCTTATTTTGTATTTTATATTGTAGATTGTTCTGCTGCTTCGACTTGTTCCATTGCTACCTTTCAGCATGTTGAATTACCTGCTGTCCGTTACTCCTGTTCCAGTAGGGGAATATATGCTGGCTTCCTGGATAGGAATGATGGTATGTTTTTTTGCTGCTCATCCTCTACTACATGATGATCTATCCCAAAAACTGATTTTCCTGTGTTCTAATAGAAATTTTCTGCTATTAAAATGCTATTGAATGAGTGTTTTGACATATATGAATATAAAACTTGGCTTATGCTTAATGAGATGGATTTGAAGTGACCTGGGGGAGATGTAATTTTCACCTCTGATTGTCCTCCATGCCAAATGAAACTTAAGCATATGGTGATTGAACGGAGATTCTCTGGAAGAAGGACAATTGAATGAGGAAGGTCTACCTGCCTATCTCCTAGCGATAAGCCTCTAGGCATTTAACCATGTTGCATGTGTGAATTATCAAAATGAATAAATCAGGACAGGGGGCATTGTTGGATATGTTTGTATTTTTGTGTTTAAGGTTTTGCCGATTGAATTTATTTGAACTCGAAAAGCATTTGGTTCAGTACTGATCCTGTTTATGTCTGACCTGTTGCCCATTGTAAGATTAAGGTAGTATCTAATTCTATGGACCAAACAACTTCATCACTTGCTAGTTTCTTCTTTATGTTAATTCGGAATTCGGAATCAGAGAAAATACCATGTTGTATTATCATTCTTGCCTAAACAAACATATAAATATAGTGAAATTAGAATTGTTTAATTTTACCGGAAGAGGTTTGATTTCTGACTAGGTTTAGGCTTTCAGCTTTGCAGATAAACATAGGAGAACTAATTTGAGACTAACGCTAATCAAATTAGTTTTACTGTGTCTAACTTTCCATCTTATTACAGCCAATAACTCTTGCATTAGTGTATGTTGGAACAACTTTGAAGGATATCTCTGATGTGACCCATGGATGGAGTGAGTTTTCAACTACTCGTTGGGTAAGAACTGTATTTATACTCTTGAAGGTTTTCTGTTGACTTTCTAGTTGCCTCCTTATATCTCTGTGGCACGAGTTTTCATTTGTCCAATTTCTGATATGTATTCTTTTTTTTTCTTTTTTTTTCTTTTTGTGCAGGTTTGTATAGTGTTGGGCCTTGTTGTATCTGGTAAGTTGCAATGTGACATACAGTAAACTTTCTATCTTGATGCAGCTTCCTGATTGCATGAATGGCATAGCTTGTATCTTCCCATTAATTTATCTGAAGTTTAAATGATTATAGTGTTTAATCTTCCTTTTTTGGCTGATCTGCAGTGATTCTAATGTTTTGTGTTACTAAAGTTGCCAAGTCTGCTTTGGACAAAGCTCTGGCTGAGAATGAAGATATAGATTGCATTTTGGGTTCACCCCAGTTACCAATTGTGGCTGATCCTCCTGTTGATCTGACGGAGCCTCTTATAATCAAAATAGATACATCTGATGGCCATGAAAAATGAAATTCATATTCATATTTTATGTAAATTCTTTCTCTACATCATTCAAAGGCAAATGCTTCTATTCTTTATCCCAGCACATTGCATGGCATTTGCGATATGTACAGTCCAATCATTTACAAAATGTAGTTTCGGATAGAAGTTGCTGATTCGAACTATCGTGTAGTGGGGAATTTGTCAAATCAAATGGAATCCAATAATATTATTAAAAGATCAGGGGATCATTGTGTCGCTTGTATAATGGTTATAACTTATAAGCCTTTTCTAATTTCTATTCTTTACTCTTCTCTCTCCCGCCCCTGTCCACCACTGTCATTTTTGGCTCTTTTTTCTATTAGATCTACAATTGTAGCCATGGAGTCCTGCAACTATTGGGAAAAACACTGTCTGATTCATGGAGGACAAAATTATAGGTAGATGAGTCGCAAACTTTTTTTTTTTTTTTTTTTAATGCGGTTTTGTTGGATAATAAATAAACTTTTTTTTTTTTTTTTTATCTGATGAATTGATAATGCGGTTGTTGGATATAACAATCAAAGATAAAGGCAGAAGAAATCAAGTACCTGGAAATTGTTCGCATTTGGTGAACGGTAACTTCCATTTTTGACTGCTGTGTCTGATTTTGGAGGGAATGTTTTCTTCTGTTCGCACAAATTTGTGTATATTTTACAGATAAACATGATAGTGGAGGCCATGGTCCACTAATTGGATGGTGAGATCCAAAATCACAGGCAAATATTTAAAATTGGATTGGAAAAGTTTGCTGAAGACTTGAACAGGAGGGAATAAAAAGTGATTCCAATGATGAAAGATGAAGCAAAATCATATGCACTCATTATGAAAAATTTTAAATGCATTGTGGGAACCATTGGCTCCTATGCTTTTTAGCTTTCTCAAACAAACAAGAGAAAAGCCAGAAGCTACCATTTCCATATATATATTTGTTGCCTTATTTCACCTTTCTCAACGTCTTCTTGTGTGGAATATAGGGTGTGTTTGGGTCCTACCATTTTCCCTAGTGAAAGAACTTAATATTCTACCATAGCATAGGGATTTCACCATCATACAATTCCATTCATCACCAATCTTGTTCTCATTCAATCTTGATCATACGATCTGCGACCTGCCTTTTGGAGGACCCACAATCTATCATCACCGCCATCCACACAAACATCAACATAAATATTAACAGAAAGCATATCATGTCGACTCCAAAATCCAAGTTATTGAGAGGTAAAATGCCAAGGTTCAGCATTTTTCCTCTAGGGGGTTGTTTCGATGGCTGTCGCGATCATACACAAACTTCAGGATTTGGCACCAGGATTTGGAACCTGAGTGACAGGCCAATTGAGCTGCAAGTAAGGGTAGGATCAATACTGAAAAAGGTTCATTCATTGAAGGCAGGATCTTCCAAGAGACTAAAGTGCAAGAGCATATACAAGGCATACATGCCTGGTAGGACTGGAAGCGGAGGAACGATGAAGAACTTGTTGTATTACTTCGATGAAACATGTCATCCTTATATTTGGGTACATGGCACTGGAGGTGATTTTTCCAGGATGGTCAAGCAACAATACATTAGTCTTGAAGACCTGAGAGATTATTCTGAAATCAAAATTTTCAGGGATCATCAAAGAGGCTGCATATCTGTCCGCAAGAAACCTAGGCCAGACTTTTGCTGACACTCTGATACGAGGTCTTTCTTTTTTTCTTCTTGATGTGTGAGATTGTGTGGATAATGGGATTGAAAGTTAAAATCTTTTAACTTGCTGATCAGATATTTTCATTTTTTGTTTGTGTTCCTGTACTGGATGTATTTGAAGAATTGAATTGTGTACTGTTAGATAGCAACATGTATGCAAAAAATTATAAAGAAATGATGATATACGTATTTAATTTTAGGGTGGCAAATTATAATCAGAATTAGAGGTGATGATGGGAAATAATTGTCCCCTACCTGCATTCCATGATAGCAACTTGAGGCGATGATAGAGATGCTTACAAATTAAGCAATGTTCTTTCGATGTATTTTAATAAATTACTTCTTAAATAGAAAAATAGATTAATAGTAGATGGGTTCATCATACAAAATTATCGTAATTTACTTTCAGCAATCTTATAAAAAATATTGGATTTGAAAAACTATTTAAACAATAATTGCACTGGAGGTTCAACTATTTAAACATTAATAAAGGTAAAAAAAAAAAAAAATCAAATTCAGAATATTAATTAATTTAAGTAAATTATTTTTTTAATACTTCAGAATAATTAATCGAATTATATTAGGGGTTCCTTTTAAATGTACATTATAATTATTACAACAAATCTTGAATTTCCTTATGCCTAAAGCTGTCATAATTCCAAGTTCTATGGATAATAATTTTATTACATCTGAAGACTCAAATTCCCCGCGTGGTTCCAATTAAAAGTATCTAGAAGAATTCAAATAGGAGGGGAAAATTCCTAAGTAAAAAATTGTTGGAAGCAAAGTGGTTTACGCAGCATAAAATTCTCATTTGTCCATTAATGTAATAAATTTATTATTTGGATGAGTAATTATTGAAGAATAAGATATCAAAAGAGTTTTTTTTTTTTTTTTTAAATACAACTAATATATTATAGGATGATTAATTATTATATTCAATTAGTACATACAAGTAATTCAATCCATACAATGTTATTTGAATTTTTGTTAAAAGTTTTATTTAAATGGAAAAAACCGTCAAATTCAACAGAAAAGATATAATTATAATATTTTTTAAAAAAAATAATTGGAAATTTCATTAACTAATTATGGTTTTGGTGGGAAAATAAAACTCCTGTAAAAAACAGGTAAAATCTGTCAAAACCAAAGAAAAAGGAAAGAAAGTCAATGAAGGGATACCGATTTCTTCAAGAACACACAAGCTAACCCTTCAACTTCTGCTGTATACGCCCAAACGCCAACGAAAAGGCACAAACTTTTCTTCTTCTTCTTCACCTTCTTGTTTCTGTAATATCATCCAAAAATGGGCATTTCATTTAGCAATAGTCGAAGAAGAAACAACACTTATTACCATCATCGCCCTCCCCCTCCCCCTCCGCCTTACTATTACCCCTCAGAACCCCTTTCCCTCCCTCCTCCTCCGCCCCCACCTCCTCCGCCGCCACCTCAGAGTTACTTCGCTACGGGAACAACATCGACGACCCAACAGCCATCGTACCCTCCACCAAATAATCCTTATTATGCAAACGCACCTCCTCCCCCATTGCACTCCTACTACAGTTCTCATCCTTACAATTCATGCAGTTATTCAAACAGATTTAGCTATCAACCTTATTATTATGCTAATCAGGCTAATGGATGGTCTGCGAATAGGCCTAATGTGAGTACTGGGCAGCCAATTCAGCCAGTTCCTTACATTGAGCATCTGAAAGCAGAGAAGGTCAGGAATGACGTGAACGTGCATAAGGATACATTGAAGGTTGAAATTGACGAGCAGAACCCTGATAATCACTTGGTTTCTTTTGTTTTTGATGCTCTGTTTGATGGGAGGTTAGTAATTATTTTACTTTGTTACTTATTGTATGATTGCTTTGGTAAATTATCTTTTATTGGTTTTGCCTGCTGTGTGGAGATTTTCATTTGTGGGTATTGATATATTGGTTGTTTGTTAGATGATTCTTGGTTTTGATGCTGGTTATGTTGTTAAATTGACTTATTGGTTTGGCAAAGACATGGAGTTAAGGATCTTGAATATTGTAATGAACAAGTTTATTGGTTCTCTTAGGCTTGTCCGAGTTCAGAGTGTATAATCTTTGATTGTCATAAGAATATAAAAATGAAAAAGCATAACCATAATTTGAATAAATTTGATAGATAATCATGTTAAAAGTTATAGATTAACCCAAAAATGTTGCTAATTTCTTGATTTGGGCCTCTGATGATGGCAAGGAAGGGATGGGTTTCACTTTTTCTTGTCATTCAAGGTGGTGTTGATGGTTAAAGTGAGTTGTTGGGGGATGTCAAACAAGAAACTTGGAGAAGCAGACAAATGGGAAACATTTTAACACCTTTGTGCAATTAACCTTAATCCAAGTCCAGTGCACCTCTTTAACCTTCCTGCCTGACCAACATTTAATTATTGAGATGTATTGAGATCAAGAACTGCAGTAGTTTATTAGCTGCAAGTACTTACTGTCTTTTTTCCCCTAATTTGCTTAAAGCAGTCTATGAGTATTAGGCAACCAGATGAATGATGAAAGTTATTTAGTGAGGATGGATATTGCATTAAAGCTAAACTGATAGTTAGAAAATGAAGATGTTTTGTAATGAATGTTGATTATACTATATCTTTTATTATTCAATCAAAATACCATCATAGTACAAGCATTGGGCTAGTGCTTAAAACTAGCCAATGACTAATATATCTGTTGAATTGGCTAAAGTTAAAGCATTCAACTTTTACATTTGGGCCATATGGAGTCAAGTTTGTTGACTTCATAGTTCACCATACTTTTGCATTTGTACTTGGCCTTCCCTGAAATTCAAGTACCTCAATGGCAACATTTCTTTGGGATTCTCTTGGATTTTTCCCCCTTTTCGGATGCTTTTTTAGGATTGGATTACTAATGATTGGGAAAATGTCCATGTCCATATTATTTCTTCAAGTTCTTAGTCCTTTTCTTCCTAATATAATTCTTTTTTTCCCCCCTAAATAACAGCATTACAATTTTCTACTTTGCCAAGGAAGAGGCCAATTGTAGGTTTGTTCCTATATTTCCTGAAGCCCATTTGCCTGTGAGAGTCCCCTTCCAGAAAGGTCTTGGCCAGAAATTTTGTCAGCCATCAGGAACGGGCATTGACTTAGGTTTCTTTGAGTTGGATGATCTCTCAAAACCATCACCAGGGGAAGATGTTTTTCCACTTGTAATAGTTGCCGAAACATGTTTGCCAGTTGATTCAAGTGATGAAAATCTTGATGATTCTGTGCCCATCGCATCTGGCCGTATGCAGATTACTCAAGCTATTCTTGAGAAGAAAAACAGTGATCCTTTCCAAGTGAGAGTAGTAAGGCAAATTTTGTGGATTGATGGAGTTCGATATGAGCTGAGGGAGCTATATGGAATAGGAAGCTCAGCAGCTGAAGACTTCAACGACTCTGACCCTGGGAAGGAATGTGTGATTTGCATGACTGAGCCCAAGGATACAGCTGTTTTACCTTGTCGGCATATGGTAAGATTCCACATTTTTTCTCTACATGATGATCAACAAAGACTAATTTCAGGTATCTTCTACACTGTATGCATGATGATAAAGATAAACTGTTAAAATTGATGTCAGGAAGGTTAAAGCTCTAATGCATTAATTATATCTGGGATAGATGGTTTGAGCTCCAGGGACATGACTTAGTTCATCTTATAATTAGGCTTCTTCTCTCTCCTCTCTCTCTCTCTCTCTCTCAGAAACTCATGTCATAGGTATGCGGGTATGCATGTTAACATTTTTCTTTTGAATGGGAGAATTTACAAGCATTGAGAAGTGCATTGTTTTATATATGTTTGTAGTGTTGAGTGTATGCAAATTTTTTCGATAATGGTTCTAGGAAAGGAAAAATATTTACCTTTTTCTAAGTACTTGTATAACTAGGAAGCAACTCTGCCTGCATACAACAGTTAGAGCTCCCCTCCTTTCGCTATGTTCTTTATTATCAAGTCTGACATGCCATATGTTTTCAGTGTATGTGCAGTGAGTGTGCAAAAGAATTGAGGCTTCAATCAAACAAGTGCCCCATATGTCGACAACCAATGGAAGAACTTATCAAGATCAAAATAAACAATGGTGATCAATAAGAAATTATTTGCTTCACTCCAATTTGGATTAATGGTAAAGCTGTTAACTCTTTTTTTGTTTTACTGTATCTTTGCCCTCTCAATGTGTATGCTAATGTTCTGTATATTTTTCTTTCTTTCAGTTTTTCAATTTTATTGTGGCTTTGTACAAAGATAAATTATGTAGATCTATGCTTAGACAAAATGTCAAGATAAACTTTAGTTGAGCTTTAGTCGTTGTTATAATCTCTTATCTTTGGCTAAATGCCAACTTGTGTCACCTTGATCATCTAGTTCCGACAGGGAAACATGTTTTCTTAAATTTTAATAACTTATAAGGGCTTGATGGGCTGTCTTTTTAATAAATAGCATTATCTCCATGAGGTGGAGGAATCGTCTTTTTCCTCATTATAAAATCATGTTTGGAGTTGTCAAGGAATGTGAGAAGTCTATTCAACTATTATGATGCTTGCTTTATTCTCTTACGTCTCTGGGTAAATTTCTATACCCCTGACCATTCATCATTCAGTTCAGTTTCAGTTTGTGTATTTGCACATTTAAATTAAATATTTTCTCTAGCAAGCATGGCTATGAAGATTCAAAGGACAAGAAAGGGTAGTTGTAATACAACTAGACTGGGGGGGACCTACTAATTCTACAGAAGTAGCTCTTTTCCTTTAGGCTAACAGCCAAAAAGAGAGACTGAGTGAGAATACTTTCCATAGAAGTTAGCATTAAAGGAGACAAACTGAGAATCTTCAAAGTTTATATATACCTTTAATGGATTGTCACCTTTGAATGGTTGAGGATACAAAAGTCTAAAGTCATGCAATGATACTAATCAGTATTCAGTAATAATCCTTTGCATCAAATTTCTTGCCAGTGAAGGATGCAGAATTGATTTCTCTTTTATTGCACAATTGTGTATGCTTTTCTTTTATGAATTTTGCTTTCTTGAACATGTTATAGAATGGAATTATTTTTTGTTTAGATGTAGGACTCGTGGCTGTCCTTTTGAATTGCTTTTACTTAGTTTTGGGAGTTCCTCATTAATATCACTCTAATCCTCAAGGGTTAGAGTTTAAAGTACCATCCTAACCATCTTTGCTAATTCAACTGATTGAGAAATGCAAGTAGAGATGTTGCGAGGAACGCATTCCACTTATATCTAAATCAAATATTCCTTAGCAGATTATTTGATGTATTGCTGATGTTGGGGCTCCCATCTCCTTAGAAACTTTGATTTTCATTCAGTGTACCATAGGGATGAGAAGGATGATTGATTATAAAGGCACATTCGGTGGAAATATCTGTGAAGGAATTCAAAGAATTGATAGCTGCACCAAAATGGCATGTAGAAGAAGTACCTATAGAAAGCCTTATGAAGAAGATCCCAAAAGTTGAAAAGGAAAAATAATGAGGTAGACCCTAGACTTTAGCCAATCTTTATCAATTTCTGCAACTGTATAGTTTGGAAGCATTTTGGGTTTGGAAGCAATTTGATATATTCATTGCATTTTTTATGATTCTATGGTGAAGAGTAGTGGAGAAGAGTAGAGTGTCATGGATGGCAAGAAGGAGAACACAAGATGTAGACAAATATGAATTGGGTTTCCTTACTAGTCAAAACTTCACAGCATCTATACCTCTATTATTACTTTCTCCATGCAAACTAAAAATCCAGAGCTATGAGAGTAGGAACCATGTGATGATCCCAAAATAAATGGGATCAAACTGTGTTTATTTCTCTTATCCATTAATCACCTATCTACAGACCATGTGGATGCTCATGTGATCCTCTCAGTCTCAGCAACATAAATAGCAATGCTTGTCTTAACAACTATACAGACGAAAAGGAACTAACATCTAACTCGCAGATGCTCATATGAACTCCTCGATTCAAGTATGGAAATGAACTTGACCATTAAGCTATTATTATGTTAAATTTACGTATGGAGTTGATATATGCATATACAAATGGTTGCGTTTGGATCACTGCCTTAACCTAAATTGATAACTAATTCGTAAAACTTCCATTTATGGTTAAGGCAGTTATTTCAAGCTTGAATCTGGGCATGAAAGCCATCTGGGTTTTGGTCATTTGGCGCCATTCAATCAAGTAGCCTTTTACAGGTGAAGTTAGGTCTTGTAAAGGGGAAAGAAGGAAAGGAAAGAAAAAATAGGAGGTACTACTAGTACTAGTAGGGGTTTCAGCAGGAGAGTTTAGGCTTTTAAGAAAGTGATCAATAATTTGCGTAGAAAAAGAAGGGCTTCAAATTCAAAAGCTTGAAAAGAAAATAGCCCTACAAACCTGATTTTTGGTGTCTCTCTTTCAAATTGAGCCCAGTCTTTACCTAATTAATTCCTCTTACAGACATGATTAAACCATACCAAAGCAGCTTTTTTTCAGTTACTTGCTCTTCTTCTTTACAAAAGTTTCTTCCATTACTAATTCTCAATGTTCTTATCACTTCGACATTCCATTTTTCTTCATTCTTTTTTCCCTAAATAGCAATAATAATCCTCTTTTCCGTAATTTTGACCTAGCTTTGCCTCCAGCTGTTATGGTGCCATGGAAAATAAAAAGACTGTAATCATTAATTAAAGAATGACTCTCTAATTTAATCACTTGGCCAAATAAGCTAATATCGTTATACTACCTATATGGCCAAGTCAGAATTTTTTATAATTCTTTATCTAATTTCGTTTGCATATTTAGTACTTTACTGTATTCTTAACTTTATTACAATGCATATGCTTAACGAAATACAAAAATAGTAAATGAGAGATCAATTTATTAATTTTAAATTCGTGTGTTTCACTAAATCTATTTATCTTTTTTTAGAAAATCATTTCATCTAAAATGAATAAAATAATTCCAAAGGATGTTAAACTAAATGGTTTTTCTTAAAGTGAATTAAAATTAAATTTAAGATTCTCGTTACTAAATTGCTTTTAAAAAAAAAAAAAAACCCTAACCTGCTTAAGCTATGGAGCTCAAATCGCACTCCGTTTTAATAAAGAAGAGAAAGCGCGTGAAGAAATAGAATATTTTCACAAGAAGAACAGTACTGGATGTGGGCTGAAGAAGCAAAACCCAAAAAGAAAAGATGAGGATAGAGTGGTAATTTGAGGGGGACGGACATGGACAGGCCTACGCTACACGAGTACATGTGGTAAACTGGCAATGTATCAAAAACAGTAGCACATCTAGAGTAGAATTAATAGTAATTTACAACTTCCTTATTAAATGTCATTATTTAATGTAGCCACCCAATTTTGGGAGAAAAAATCTGACAATGGATTCAAATCATAACTCAACCATGGTCATCCTAGTAAAACAACCCAACCCCAACCCCAAACCCAAACCAACCCAGGCCAAACTGCTTCACATGAAATAGGCTCCTTTTATCCTTGGGCTATGCCTATTGGCTAACCATACCATACTATACCAAAGTTTGAAAATCTAAATATGGCTACAAAATATACCGATAAATAAACCCCCTATACGAGGAGTTATGCCTTGCAGCTCCATACTCTCTCTGCCAGTCCATCTTTTGCTTCTCTCTTACCACCTCTCTCTCTCTCTCTCTCTCTCTCTCCATCCCTCACCCTGAAATAGAGGAAGCAGTGCCCAGAGAAGTTTTAATGTGCACCCACCGGCAGTAAACTTCTTTCTCTTTCTTTCTCTTTCACCCACTCTTTCTTTCTCTCAAAGCTGAGTCTTGTTCTTGTTGCGTCTTTTAACTTTCTCTGCTCAGCGACTGGGACGCATTTGTTTGCTCTGTGTTTCTTTACCAAAGAACCCAAAAGAAAGAACAGAGAGGAGCCCATTCTGGAGTTCTTTGTAACATATATATCCTCTGTTTCGTTTGAGCAGCTTTTGCTTCGTAGATCTATTTAGCCAACCTCTTTTTCCCCTCCTCCTATTATTGGAACGGTGTGTTTGTTTCATTTTGAGCAGTAGATATGAGTAAAGAAGAGTTCTTGAAGATCCAGGTACCCATTCTACTTACTGCGTAGGCATCCTCTTCGTTGTTCTTTTCTTCAATTACTGTGCCCCATTGTTTTAGCTAATAAATATTTTTGTTATTATCTATGTTTCAATCTTCTTTGATTTTAGTTTTAATCATTTGAAGCTCATCCTTATGGAGCAAGCTTGGTATCCCCTTTTCAAATGATATCTCTCATTAGTCATTACTTGTTTTCTTTTCCCTCTGGCTTGCTTGTGCATGCAGACTTGTGTTCTAAAAGTGAACATACACTGTGATGGCTGTAAACAGAAAGTGAAGAAAATCTTGCAGAAGATTGATGGTATCTTTTCCCTGACTTCATATTCTCTTATACCAAATGTTTTTTTTTTTTTTTTTATCTTTCTTATTTCTTTTTAATTTTTAAAGGATGTCTACTCCATTTCACTGCTGCCCAAGAAATTTGCTTCCTTTTTTTTTCTGTGTTGGTCTGCTTAGTTGATTTTGTTTGTTATTTTGATAGGGGTTTTCACTACCAAAATAGATTCAGAACAGGGAAAGGTAACAGTTTCAGGTAATGTAGACCCAGCTGTACTTATAAAGAAGCTGGCAAAATCCGGCAAACATGCTGAGCTCTGGGGCGCCCAAAAGCCCAACGGCCAGAACAACTTGCCCAACCAGTTCAAGAACATGCAAATCGATAGTGCCAAAGGTAGCAATAACAAAGGTCAAAAGGGTGGTAACAACAACAGTAACCAGCCCAAAGGTGGTCAACAAAATCCTCATCCTCAGAATCAGCAGCAGCAACTGAACCAACAAATGCAGCAACTGCTGAATCAACAACAAATGAAAGCATTACAAGATCTGAATAAGCTGGCCCAATTCAAAGACATGAAAATGGGTAACAGTAACCCGAACCCGAACCAGAAAGCAGTGAAATTTGCTCCAGGTCCACTGGAAGATGATGACTATAGTGATGATGATTTGGAGGATTACGATGATGAGGATTACGATGATGAAGATGATTTTGATGAGATGGATGACCCTCAACATCCACTTAACAAGATGAAACCCGTTATGGGTAATGGTAATATGATGATGAATGGTTTGCATCCTCAGCTCATGAATGCCCAAAAGGGTGCTCCAAATGTCGGTGGAAATGGTAAGAAGGGCGGCGGCGGCGGACCGGGCAATGGTAATGGAGCTGTGCCTGTGCAAGTAAATATAAGTGGTGGGAATGGAAATGGAGGTAAGAAAGGAGGTGGAGGTAATAACAATGCTGGAAATCAAAATCAAAATCAAGGTGGCAAAAATGGTGGTGGAAAGCCACAAGATGGAAAAAACGGTAACAGTGGAGGCGGTGGTGGCGGTGGTAAGAACGGCAACAACTGTAATGGCGGTGGCGGTGGCGGTGGTAATAACATGCAAATGAATGGCGGTAAAAAGGGAAATAACGGTGGAGGTGGAGGTGGAGGTGGTGCTGTGAATGATGCGTTGCGTAACATGGGTGGCCCACACGGTCATATTGGTCAAATGGGTGGTAATATGAAAATACCGATGGGCCAAATGGGCAATATGCCCATGGGCCAAATGGGTAACATTCCTGCCGTTCAAGGCCTGCCGGCTGCTGCCGCCATGAACAGCGGAGGGGGTGGTGGCGGAAATGGGTATTTCCAAGGAGCCGGTCCGGATCTCATGCCCGGTAACCCATACCAGCAACAGCAGCAACAGCAACAGCAACAGCAACAGCAGTACTTGCAAGCATTAATGAGCCAACAAAGGGCAATGGGTAATGAGAGGTTTCAACCCATGATGTATGCTAGGCCCCCACCAGCAGTGAATTACATGCCGCCTCCATACCCATATCCATACCCTTATCCGCCACCACACCCGAATTCTGACCCGTATACCAACATCTTCAGTGATGAGAACACCTCAAGCTGCAATGTCATGTGAAGGCTTTTTGGCATGGAAAAGTTAATGGTCTCCTCCATGGGATGGATGGTTTGTTTAGCTTGCGGTGGTTCGGTTATAGTTGAACTAGAAGTTTGATGCCATAATATACATGGAAATGGGTTTTTTTTTTTTTTTTTTTTAAAATGGTCTCCTCCAGTAGGGATGGGATGGTTTGTTTAGCTTGCGGTGGGTTCGGTTATAGCTTGAACTTAGAAGTTTGATGCCCATAATATACATGGAAATGGGTTTGTTTTTTTTTTTTTTTTATTGTAGATTTAATTTTTTCTCTCTGATTTTCATTTCTTTCTTTTTGTTTTCTTTTTGGGGTCTCAAGTTGAATTAGGGGCTTTAATTATCTAGGCAAGAATGGTTTTTTTTTTTTTTTTTATTGTAGTTTAATTTTTCTCTCTGATTTTCATTTCTTTCTTTTTGTTTTTTCTTTTTGGGTCTCAAGTTGAATTAGGGGCTTTAATTATCATAGGCAAGTATTTATAGATAATATATTAAAAAGTTTTTAGGAGTAGCGGTGGGCTCTTTTATGAGATATGTTTATATGTGTTCATATGTTGCAAAACAAAAATAAGATTAAGAAAAAAAAAAAATATTATGGAGGAGGACGAAGCTGCAAAGCCCCATCTCTCTCTGCTGCTGCCCATTTCTTTCCCCAAATTTTATATTCTTTTTTATATTTTTTTTATTATTATTGCTTCTTACCTCTTTATATTACATTATTTTATTAGTCACATCGTATTATAATACTATTAATCTTCCATTTACGCAATGTGAGTGTTATGATTACCACTTGTGAAATGTAGGTCCCACACTATGAGTCGTGTAATTTGAAAGGCTGGACCCGAACCGGTTCTTCATAAGTGTGTTTGGTTATATGGGTAAATATGGACCCTACCACAAGCACTTTAAAATTTTAAAACTTAATTATTAACTAAACACTGTGGGTTTAATTAGCTGCTTTACATGCTATTTGAGGGAGTGTTCCTTCCTCCACTTGCTGGTCTCTATACCCACTTCACTCCTGAGGCCAAACGCTGTGTTATCAGAGAACATGTTGACAAAGACAAGCTAACTACTTTTTTGTAATTTTATTTTATTTTTATATCTTCTTCAATTTTAGGAAAATCTAACGGCGTTGACACTTACACGAATTCTGTGATCTGTATGGTCATATCATATCAACCAAAACCGAGAGAGCATCAAAAGAACCAAAACCCTCCATGTGTTGGATTTGTCAATGATGATGATGATCTTTAAATTTCTTTTCTTTTTTTCTGATGATAGAGATGGGGTCCATCAAACTGCTTACACATCTGTCTAATCAGAGGCAGCGATAGATGTGGGTCCCCAGTGCTTGTTCTTAAAAGTACTTGTCTGTTTTCTTGGGCGTACATTATACTATATGTATATTTAATATATACTCACTCGTACGTACATTGTGATATGATTATTTTGGTGAAAATTATTATGAATTGTATCTTTTTACTGAAAATTTTGACCTATCTTTTATGTATTTGTTTACGCCAACTTGTTTTTATTTCAGACTCACGGTTGCACGGGTGTGACCAGAACCAACAATTAATGTGGATAGCTCGAGATCCAAAATTTTCCGTGTCTGTTTGGTCATGAGAATAGCAATAACTCCATTCTCGGTTAAGAAAATATAATGTAAAGGGATTGGTTTTTGTTTATCTTCACTTGGCCAGTTGCCACTTGTCAATCATGCTTGCTGACACGTGGAGATGAACTGTAAGACAACGTGGATGGGCATATGAAGTATATCACGTGGAGGATGCACGGGGATGAGGGTTGAAGGTTGTGGGTTAGCTTGGAAGCTTATATGACCCAAAACCTAAAAGACTGACGTCTGTCTCTCCTTCCTATTATCAGTAGTTTTTTTTTTTCCAACAACAAAAAATATTAAAATTAATTAATAATAACAATAAATGTCCAATTTGAAAAAAATAAAAAAATAATTTAGAAAAATGGAGTATTTGGAGGGAAATAGGTGAAATTGACATCCTAGGATAGGAAGGCATAATAGTGATGGATAATAATTAGTAATTAATGTAATTCTGGTTTTGTTGGAATTGGAAGCAACATTTCTTTAATGGACATTTAATTATTAGTATTTGTATCATGAAAATAATGATGGTGGCCATCTTTTGTACCAACTTTAACCTGAATTTGGGGAGAAATAGCAGGGCGCAATTGAGAGAGGGAGAAACGGGGGAGAAGAGAAGAGAAGAGGAGTTCCTAATCACGATCGAGAAAGATGACACAAGCACAACTTTGTCTTTCTCCTTCATATGTATATATATGTTTTTGGGTCCTCAAATTTGACTAATGGGATTGAAAATTGGCACTTTGACGTGGGTCCTTCTGTTCTACTATTGGCTCATTCTTTGATTACACGTTCCTCTCAGTGTACTGCCACGTCACACTTGAAGATGGCTTTTACTTTTAAAACAGTATCACGAGTTTTCTATACGAAGAAGAAGCAATGCCAAAGTTAAAAACAGTACGTTCTTTTTTACTTTTCCAGGTTAAACTCTGATTGAAGAAAAAAAAAAAATATTTTGGTGATAAAATTTATTGATTCTTTTTTATTTTTTGAACCGCTGTTATCTTCTTTGTTTTTGGATATCATTTTTTTTTTTTTAAACAAGTGTCTATTCTGAAATGAATTGACACTGTCTATAGCCAATCATTGAATTCTCATTGACAGAGTCTCAACCATTTATACTGTTTTACAGTATATGTAACTGTTTTAGTTATTTTATCAAAACATTTCAATTTGATCATTAATTTTAATTTATATAATAAAATAATGGCTTAATGACTAGAATTGGTATAAAAAATTAAATACACGGAATTAATTAATAAAATTGAAAACTTGCTAGAATTGATAAAAAATGTTAAAGTTTCAGGTTTTTTTGGCATTAAATCTAAAATAGTTAAACTTTAATTCTAATTATTTTTTAAAGGGGAAACTTTAATTATATTTCAATAAATTATCATTAATTTTTTATAACTGATGACTGAGTACAACATATTTATCAGCATCATTTATATATACCTTAAAAGATCAAACTAACGCGGTGAAAATCCTATTCGCATAAAATCATTTTCAAATCTCTATTGTTTTGTATGGTAAAGATATTTTCGAAAATGAAAAAGGAAAAGACAGAGATTGTAAATAGAAAAGAAAAGGTATCCGAAGAGTTTGTCAATAATCCAATTCCAAGTGCAAAGAAATCCAATTTGCTCCCGACGATCGAGGTAAAAGAGAGTAGGCCCCACTATGTTCTTTCGTCGCGTTACCAGATCAATTCATGAAAATGGGCCCCGCTGCCTCTGGGTACAATACCAAAAAGGAACAAAACTCACCGTTTAAAGATCTTTAATTTACGAAAGAAATACGTTATCAAACGGAATAAGAAACGGCATCGAGTGTGGTAAATTACAAATTAAGAAAGGAATTAACTACTTTAAGAAGTAATAATAACGAATCAAAAAAAAAAAAAAAAAAAAAAAAACGAAAGAAATACGTAAATACAAACGGAATAAGGAAACGGCATACGAGTGTTGTGTAAATTACAAATTAAGAAAAGGGGAATTTAAACTACTTTTAAAGAAGTAATAATATACGAATCAAAAAAAAAAAAAAAAAAAAAAAAAAAAGGGGCGGAAAAAGGGAAAAGAGAGACGACAGATAAAAAAAATGGTACCAAACACACCATTGGAAGCGTAAAAAACAAAAAATCCGATCGAACGGCGGAAAGGAGTCTTCCCTTTGCCTTGGCTGGCTTCACCCCACCGTATGTGCGTTGTTGGTTTGCTTCCCTCGGGCCTCACGGCGTAGAAATTGTGAATTCGTTATTTGGACTTACTCCGTTCACATTTTTCCTGCTTCATTAAAAAAAAAAAAAAAAAAAAAAAAAAAAGGGAAAAAGGAAAAGAGAGACGACAGATAAAAATGGTACGCAAACACACCATTGGAAGCGTAAAAACAAAAAATCCATCGAACGGCGGAAAGGGAGTCTTCCTTTGCCTTGGCTGTTCACACCGTATGTGGTGTGGTTTGCTCCCTCGGGCCTCACGGGCGTGAAATGTGAATTCGTTTATTTGGACTTACTCGTCACATTTTTCCTGCTTCATTTTAATTATTGTCCTATCTGAAATTGGAAAAAAAAAAAAATTATATTACTTTCGTCATGCATTTGAATTTTGAAGTCACTGTACTAGGATAAAAATGTTATTATAAAAATACATTTATTTTAATAAAATCTTTTGGAACATTCTAATTATTATAATTTAAAATATTTTTTACTTTTTTTAGGAAATTATGGGTCAAAAAGAAAATAATGGCCTACAATATATATATTTGCAAAACAGTTGAATGTTTGCTTCTAGATGGCAATAATTGATTGGTTTGGTTATTATTATTATAAGACCATATAATCCTTTTTCCCAAAAAAAGTAAAATTAAGAAGAAGATAATGAAATCCTTCGATTTGATGTCTCAGAAAACCTACAGCCCAGGTGAAAAAACAAAAGGTGAGTGTTCCACCATCCCCACTAATTTCAAAAGCCTGAAATGAATTAACATTTCCACTTTAAAAAGCAATAAAAAAAAGATCGTTATCAACAACAGTCAAAAGCACTAAAAAAATAAATTTTGATTCAGATTGAACCGAGGCTAGGTCTAAAAATTAGGTATTTATTAATAAGTGGAGCATAAGAATATAGGGTGAGAAGCAGCAGTCGAAATCACTAGCAATAGTAAGTAATATTGGGTGGAGTGAAACTTAAATCCTAAGGTGTTGAATTCTTTCACTTTATCAAACACAATTAAACAACTTGTGCGGTATGGTCAATCATTTCATCAATTTTGCATGTGCTGCCTTCCCATTATAATTTACTTTATAAACTTTCATTTCATTTTTTTTTCTTTTCTAACCGCCTTAGCAAGTTACAAGTTACAACACTCTAACCCTTCAAGATGTGTGAAACTGTGAATCACACACACTTTAAAATATTTAAATATATATATGACGTGATGATATGATCATCCAATATTTTGGTTTGTCACAATCAAAAAGATCCAGATAATCTGACG